TTGTAGTGTGCTAAAAAGAATCAAGATATATAGTTTTGTTTTGTTTTAGATAGAGTCTCACTTTCCAGTTCAAGCTGGTGTTGAACTCACTGTGTAGCTCAGGCTGGTCTTGAAATTGAGCAATCCTCCTATTTCAGCCTCCCAAGGGCTGGGACTATAGGTATGTGCCGCCATGTCCAGCAAAACAATTTATAGTCTTAAAATATGATTTCAACTTCTAGTTCTATTATAAAGCAGGGATATTTGCTTGCATAGAGAAAAGGTGCTTTCTATCTTTTCTAAGCTGTAAAATACCATGAAGGAGGGGGCAAGGTCATTTTGGTCTTTGTATTTCTAGAGCCCAGCACAGAAGGTGTCTCTAGCCCAAATGTCATAAATTTGGGAATTACTCAAACTTTTTTCTTTGTGTGGAATGTATAAATAATATATCTGAGGGACAACTCTTTGAACAAAGATACCTCTTTTTCCTAAAATTCATTGAAAAATAAAAATAATTGTATATTTTAGTGTTACTCAAGCATACTTTTGATTCAGCGTGTGATTTGCTTTTGTCAGTGGAATATGAAGAGAGGTGGCATGCATGAAATCTGGTAAGACTGTCTTCTCCTCTGCTATAGTATAGAATTGTAGCAACCCACCCCCCCAACAGCCAGTATACTTCAGTTCTTTGTTTGCCCAGGTAATAGTTCCTGTTCCAGTTCCGGTTGCTCCTATCTCCTAGAAATGACTCGTATGTGATGTATAACTGATCACTATGATGCATATTGTATAAACCAATCTCCAATGGACAAGCCATTCTGCCTCTGTACTTCCTACAAGCTTATCCCATAGAAGCCCTAGACCACCAGAGATCAGGGCCTGATATTTTGGGAGTGATCCTGATCAGTGTCAGTCGAAAAATAAATCTGCCTCCAAATCCCAGGTGTTTCTGTTTGCTGTTAGTGAATCATGTTCCTTATGATAAATTTCAAGTCTGTGATTGAGATTAACACGGAGTTGTGAAATCCACCAAACTATCACAGACTCATGGCAAAGCATAATTATTTTTATTTTAACACGAAAGTGTTTCTATAGAATTGAATTTTATTTTTTGCCACTGACTTCAAATTTTGCAATAGAGCTAAGACTAATCATCCCTGTCCTTTGCTTTCCTACTTTTCTACCATTAATTACGCAGTCATATTTTTGCATCTAAACTCGTGTAGTCTTCCTGTGACACAACATATATTATTATTATTAAATATATTTTCTTATGATTTAACAAATAATGTATGTTCACTGATAAAATTTTGGAAGGTACAGAAAAACATTACTCCCAAATTTATAAGTCCATCCTTCTAAGGTAATCCTTGTAAAATTTATGAGTTTATTTTTTGAGTCTTATTTCTAGAACAGTTTGAAATAACTGTTTTACATGCATATGCCTGTATGTTTTCCTAAAAATAATATTTTTTTATATGAAAAAGAATAGTACAAAAAGAACAATGGCAAGATACAAACAAAACAATGCAAGGACAGTAAAAATGATACGGGGTTTCAAACCAAAACAGGGATTAACAGTGGTTGTTATATTACATTTTGTTATTTTCAACGAAGTTGCTCAGATTACCAGATGTAAGAACAGAAGATTGATCAAACCATTAAAGGGAATAAGAAAATGATAATAAAGAAAAACGTTAAATACAAACAGAGTTTCACTAGACAGGATGGTGGGAATTCACCAGTGGTTGTTGGATTGCACATTAACAGTTAATGCTTAAATTTTTACATATCTTGACCAATTTTGCGTGCTTATATCTGCCACTCTGAGCAACTGATGTGAAGACAACCATGTATAATATTTTAAACATATATAACAGACAAATAGCTTAGATTCTATCTTTCATGACTTTTTATCCTAAGAACATATCAGGTTCCTGTGCTGACTGATCACAGGACCCTATTTAGGATGAATGATGTGTGGGGACACTGTGTTTTATTTTGTCATTCACTTTGTTTTATTTATTTTACACTGGCATAGCCACAAAATGAGACTTTTACTTATAGAAGATATTATCAGTGTGTTTTTTCATTTTGTATTATTTAAACATATTTCTATTTCTACACAATAGATATGGCTGCTACTCTTTATTTGACATATATGAATACGTGATTTGACAAAGTTTGATAGCTAGTGCTGAAAGAATCTAATAGAAAGTCCTATCTTCTTGTGTCCTGACAGAGGAGAATTTTATTTAAAGGACCCAGATGTTTAAAAACTGGACATGTTCTATTCCAACACTGTGCAAAGAAAAACACAAATAGAAATTCAAATGTTCGTGCTGAGAGCCAAAAAATGCTCTGAGATGATATTTACAAATACATTACCTTAGGTTCAAAGATAATATCAGAAAACTGGATTTTGATGAATTGTTCTAACAGGAACTCTAGGCAAGGTCAGTTCTTACAGCTTAAAATTAGAAAAAAAAATGCATTCAACTGGTCAAACATATAGGAGAGATGTTAATTCTACGGCAGAAATAGGGAGCATGAGAGACACAAAATGGGGACACATTTTCCCTTTTTAAGAACTCAGGTTGTTGGACCTGAGATCTCAGTGGGACATGCTTTTGTGAACTTACTCTAGATAAGGTATAAATGATGGTGCCAGGTCATAGGAACGCTGCATATGAAGGAAAGCATAATAGAGAGGTTTAAGCTCATGGATCCAAGGATGCCACCAGTGCTTCAGGTTTAAAACTCCTTGAGTCATGGGTGCTGTTTCAAAGTCAGTGCTTTTACTTGTTTTTTTGTCTGATCATCTGTCAATCAGAATCAGAAAGGCCTGGCGCCGGTGTGAGGGGCAACGTGGTACACAGAAAGCAGCACTGCTCTGTGGGTCCCAGTCTCGAGAGAACTGCGGGAGGCCTAGGAAGGAAGGGTGTGGACTGTGCGCACCACTGGCTAACGTGGCTTGTGAAGCCACAGCGTGAGTCTGAGGAGCATGCAAGCATCCTTGGTCTCAAGAACTCTGAGAGGATGAAAGCTGCTAGGAGGCGAGAAAGCTGTTAGATGGCATTACCCCGATGTGGACTTTCAAAGGAGAGTGGGCGTTGAATGTCGAGGGAGGACGTGTTCATTCACAGTGAATGAACTGCCACCATCACTGCTATAACTTGGCCCCAGATACTTGTAAGAGAAAAATAAAATTTTATTTTTCCATTCAACTCATTCAGTGCAAGCAGCAGAATAATAGATGTAAACTGAATTCCCCCAAGAGTATTGGACTTGTTTTGGATTTTTCCCCCTCAGATTTCTGACAACCGTGACTTCCTCAGTTCTTCAGTATCAGCCTCCCTTGCTCTGCCCTGTTGCTGCTATTCCTGCCTTTCCTGCTGCCGGTTTGTTGGGAGAGTTATTTCCTGATGGGAAATGTCACTGCCAACACTTTCTGGCCTCTGGGAGGAAGAATGATTTCTTCTGGTTCCCAGGAAGACAAGAAGGACTAGGCTGGGGCTTTTTGTAAAACATGACTAGATGTTACCAGTACAAACATGACTAGATGTTACCAGTACAAACATGACTCGATGTTACCAGTACAAACATGACTAGATGTTACCAGTACAAACCAGTACTAACGCTGCTATTTACTCATACATAGTACTCGTAGATCCCAAGGGATGCTGTGTCACACTCTGAATCCTTGCTTCATCCCAAGCAAGCCATAGATATGAGGAAGCATGCCCATTTGCTCCATACCAATGAGATTTTCCCAGACCATGATCTTGTCTCAACTGCCCAGTTCCCATCCTGAGCTCCGGCTTTGTGTGTCTCACCTCCCAACCCAAGACTAAGTGGAAGTTCTCTTTGCTTTCATGTGCTGCTTGAAGCCATTCCTCAGTGTCAAATACAGACTACTGTAATTGATAGCGAAGCCATCCACTTCCTTTGAGGAAAAGTCCCGTTCCAGTTCCAGGCATGTGGCTGGAACAAATCTGGTGTATTAAGCCTGAATCAGTTTCACATGAAAGAAATCAACTGTTCAGGACTGGTTTGAATCTGCTGAGTGCCATTAATCTCCTTCTCTATGTTCATTTTTCAATATGACGTAGAGACAAGATGAGTTTTGCCTGCCCAATTAAACAGCAATATAGGTCTAGGTAGAAGAATTAGATATTGTTTCTCTAATTGTTTTGTAGTTTAGGGTTGTGAAACACCAGTAAGCCTTTTTTATTTTATGGAAAAAAGGTAAAACAAAATTTCATAACAAGATGATAGGAGAATAACAATTATTAATACATTGCATATTGTTATCTTTAAAGTAGTTACTCAGGGTACAAGATATGGGCATAAAAATTCTCCGATCCCTATTAGCACAAACCTTCCTTTTCTATGAACTAAGAGATACCAATAATATAACTAACTTGCATTTTTTCTTTCTTTTCCCTTTCTTCTTTTCTCCTTTCCTCCTAGCTCCTTTTTGCTTTTTAATAATTTTTCCCCATTTCCCAACATCTATTGTACATTTTAGGCCTTATTTACTCTTTTCAGCTTTTGAAATGTACTCTTTGAAAGGTTTTTGGATATATTTGAAAAGCCCATTCTATTCCAATATGCAGGGGCAAATGGTTATGCAGAGAGGTTAAGAATATGTCCTTTGAAATTGAATTGTCTGGATTTGTATATTGACTTTGCCTCATACACATGTGTTGCACTTGTAGTTGATATTTCTTTGTTCTAGTTTACTTGTCTGTACACTGGTAATAATACTATATACCTCCTGGGATATAAGAATTAAACAGAAATATGCATATGTACATAGAGATATACAAATATGAATTAGATAGTGTTTCACATTTAATCTCAATTTTCTAATATAAAAAATGTTGCTATTTTACTTTTGCATGTCACTTCAGTTCTGTCTTTAATTTGTACACTCTTCTTGCTTGCACTGTAGGTCATAGTTGCTGTTCAATTCAGGGAAGAAATATTCAAAACTAGAAAATGAGAATTAATACTTGGAGGCCAAGGTAAAATCAGACATCATTTGACTGGACCCCAATATCATATCAAACTCTACTCTGTCTTTTAAACAGAGGTACAGTATATTCTAGGAAATTATTCTTTAATCAGTTTATGTCCAGTATTTTGTGGGATACAACTATACTCTGAAGCCAAGAGTACTGCCCTTTACTAGCACATTCTGGTAACTTATTAGCATGGAAACTAATTTTGGAAACATAATTAATTACACTGACACATACACACACACAACAATACCAACATTGTGGCATAAAATATTGAAAAATTAAATGCCTTTGCATGAAAATCTTACATTTCAGACCTCTCATGAAATCTGACATATCAAACTTTCTATAATTATGCTGTCAGTGCTAGACCACTGTTTCCAATTATAATATCTGGCAGCTTTTCATCTCTTTGGCATTGACTAGATTGCAAGAAAATGATAAGGGTGAAATATAATTTCTGACTGATTTTATGGCTTATGGGTTTTTTGTACAAATTTTGAAGCTGAATCTTAAAAAGAAAGAGCTCAGTTCAAATCTTATAACTATCTTAGGAGTAAATCATTTTCTGTGAGTATCACACCTGATAATACTGATATATTGGTTTTCCTATACAGATAACAAAGGGTAATGTGTGCAGTGGCTAATAGTATACACTACTAGTAGTATGGTTTCTGTCATATCACTTAGCCCTACTGAAGTACAGCATTACCAGCTTATCAAATGTTATGATAGTAATATCTAATGTACAGCACACTGTGAGGAATAATTGAGTTAGTATATAAAAAACTTAGAAAAGTTTTTGGCACATGGCAAATATAGGATACATGGAATGTCTTCCATCACATGGAATGTCTGAGTTGACTTGTTCATGTGTTAGATGGATTGGATGTATTCCGTGTGAGAACATAAATATGGAGAGGCCAGGGACAGAATGCAGTGGAGTGAATTTATTCCCCCAGTGTTCAAATGCTAAAACCTTTGTTCCCAACATGGTGACATTTGGAGGTTCAGCCTTTGAGAAAAAGCTGGTGATAATAGTAGTGCCCTCCTGAATGGAAGGTATGCCCTTATAAAACAGCTGGTGAGTGTCCAGCCTTCTTCCAGGGATGGGAGGATGCAAGAAGTCAGTAGTCAGTGAGCCAGAAGAGGTTCCTTGCCAGAGCCCAGCTATGTGGGCACCTTGATCTTTGAAGTATTTCTGGCTTCCAGAACTGAGAGAAGTAAAGTTCTGTCATTTATAAAGCACTTAGTCTATGAGACTTTTAAATAGCAGTTTCTAATAAGAAAGAACTTTGAGACAGTAATAGTCATTTCTAATTCTCACTCTTCTTATCTAATCAATTATTAAATGTATTGATTATAGAAACAATCTTTCTGAAACATTCCATTTATTTTTATTCTGATGGATGCTGTCCATCTTTAGCTTCTTATGATGTCCTCAGTGGACGCATCATTAGGGCTCCACCTTGGCAGGTTCTCCTCTCTTCACTGTACCTTGAGCACCTCTGCCAGATCAATCTTCCTAAAAGTCAGGTTAAGTACATCACTGCTCAGCTTTGGGTATTTGGGAGAGTTCTATTTCTCACAGTATAAAATCCAGACCCTTTATCTTTATATCCAAGTTTTTGGTTGCACCTAGTCTCAACCTTGACAAAACTTGAGTTGGACTGGTCTGCTTAGTATTCCTTCAGTTCTGTGGCAAGGTTTTCTCCTCTATCATATCTTGGATCTCCTCTTCATGGGGTGTCATTTGTGATTTAATTTTATGTGTACATATCAAAATATATTGTGTCAGTCAGGGCTTACTGGAGAAACAGGTACAATAGGGGCTCGGGGTTTAGCTCAGCGGCACAGCGCCTACCTGGCAAGCGCAAGGTCATGAGTTTGATTCCCGGCATGGGAAAAAAACAAAAAACAAACAAATAAATAAAGAAACAGATACAATACATGATATATAAATGAGGAAGAATTTACAAGATTCTTACAATGGCTACCCATAACGTTGGATGTGGAAGAATGGAGAAGGTGTCTGCACAGTGGAGAGCTGAAGGATCCAGTCAAAGGTCTGGAGATCACTGCAGTATCCCATGCGAGTCTGTACCAGGGGTTGATGGGTCTGCAATGGAAGTGAAGGATTTGTGCCAGAAGCTGAAGACTCTGCGCTGGAACTGAGAAGATGATGTCCAAGGTGAAGGCAAAGACGGGAGCTCCTCTGAAGAAACAGAAACGGCTTTATCCTTCATTTCCTCTTCATATCATCCAGACAGCAAGCCACCCTAGGTGGGTTTCCTATACCCTAGGGTGTGGAAGTGCTGAGCCAACGTTCGTCTTTTCTTACGCAAATTGCACAATCAGTTAGCCATCACATACATTATGCGTGTTTTGATGGAAAAGATATATTGCTGACAATTTTACCATATAAACCGGAATAACTTTTTGTATTAATGCATGTTTTAGATATAATGATTACAAACTGGAATAGTTTTATATTTCCATTCTCAAATTCTGGTATTGTCTGTAAGGTGGGGCTTTCAAGCAGAGACTAAGTCACAAAGGCTCTTCCTGCCTCATGAAAGGGATTAAAGCTGTTGTTATAGAGGCTTCAGGAATCATTTTGTCCTCTTGCCCTGCCACATTTTGTCTTGTGACTGCAGAGCAAGAAGGTCCCAAGCAGATGCCAAATGCCCAAGCCTTGATCTTAAACATCCCAGCTCCTAGGATTTCAAGAAAATAAATTTCTGTTCTTAATATAATACTCACTGTGTTATTTTGTTAACATAAATGGACAAAGACACAAACCTGTGTCCTAGGTAACTGCTTAACTAATATTCCAAGTGAATAATTTTTGATTTGTATAATAGCATGTTACTACCCATGAGAGCAACTGGAGTATGCATCTATACATGATATCTCCTTTAATTCTTACAAGGACTCTCTGAATCAAGACAATGTTTAGTATACTTTTTGTAACCTGAGACACAGGTTACATTACTTACCAAGTGTGTGTTGAGATTAAATGAGCGGAGAAGAAGCTTCGGTCTGGAATCAGGAAGAGATGGCTGGGATAATCTGTAGCCACATGTCTGGTTTCTGATTGCTTTAAAGTTCAATTTATGATCAACTTTAGCACTTAATCAAGATTAACAATAAAATGGAGCATTTAACACAATAGTATGACGTGACAAGCTTATCACAGGTGGCAGGCAGCTAGAAGAGATACTTAAGGCAGAATATATTTCCTTGCAGTTCTTGCTCTAAGAATTGAGGAAACAAAAGTACAAATGTCCTAAGTTCATCTGTGGAATAACCTCAAACAAACCATGTATAAACATCATATATCTACAAATTAACAAGCTATGGCTTGTAAAAATAAGGTGTAAATAGTTTGATATGTTCCTCAGATTAGGAGAAAACTTTCTTTTGCAAATTAGAACAGTAAAGCACCAGCTATGGCTTACACCTTCCCTTGAAAGGCAAAAATGTGTGTATATGGTGGTAGAGGGAAGCTTTCTAACCTTTTCTTTATTATTTATTTTAAAGAGAGTAGTAAATGAGAAACAAAGAAACAAAGAAATAGAACAGTAGCAGCATACCAGTATCACAAAAAAACAAATCAACCCAAGAACATTCAAATTGATACAGGGTCTCAAGACAAAATAATACGAATCAACAGTGGTTGTTACATTACATATCACTATCCTCAGCTACATTGCTCAGATTACCAGGTGCAAGAATGGAAGATTGTTCAAACCATAAAAGAGAATAAGAAAATAATTCTTCAATAAAATATTAGAGATAATACAGAGTTTCACTAGACAAGATCGTAGGAATTCACCATTGTAATTCCATTTCATATTATTACCTTCAAATCAGTTGCTCAGACCACTAGACACAAGCATGCAAAATCAATCAGAACATTAAAAACTATAAGCATTAACTGTTCATTTCAGTACACCATCAGACATCAGCAATACCGTTATTGCAGGTATTCGTGTATATA